TTTTTTTTTTTTTTTTTTTTTTTTCAAAGCTTTGTGTAGACGGTATGCGGTTATTTCTTGTTTTCCATCCGTCCTAATGACCGTTGCGTTGAAGAGCTGACAATAGAATTAACATGTTTTGTGTTGCTTTAGTTGTTCGTTCAATAACAGACCAGTTCATAATTCAGTTGATTTTCATTTTTGCTTTTGCTTTCGTTGTTGTTTTTATTTTTACTTTTAATTTATTTATTCATTTTTTTTTCTTTGTTTTTGTAAAGGAATGATGTTCTTATTGTATACGAGCTGTGCTTAGGCTAATGTTGTTCTTCTTTGTTGTTGTTGCGGTACGTAAGATAAGCAATACAACCTTAGTTGAAAAACAAAGTAAACAATTAAAAATATTAAAAGATTATTCTTCGCTCTTTGAAGACCCAATCGAGAAGCGCTTTTTTGATTTAGAACGAAATAATTATTAAAAATCAATTTTAAGCGCACTCAAGAGAGAGTACATTTTCAACTTCATTCTCTTTTTGTTTTTTGCCCACGTACATATATGCACACAAGCCCAGTTATAAATACACATCTATATATATATATACATACATGTGCTTATATATATGTAAATATATATGTGTGTAAAACACATTATAACAACTTTTAAAGATCCGCTATAATTTAAACATTTTTTTTGCTACCACAAGATTCGGAATTGATTTAGCTGCGCTTGCTTGTACAAAATGACACAATTGCAGATAAGATATTGGAACATGTTATATATCGAAGCGCAGGGTTCTACGGCGATTTAAGCTTATTTCTCGCAATCCATATCCCGCGCACTTCTTTTCATATTTCTCACTATGTAATTACTATAAATAGGGAAGCTGCTGTAGGAACCAAAAATAGATGGGCCTCTGTTTTACATATAATACTTTTTATACATTTATCATTGCATTCCATAAATGAAGTTTTGCTAACATGCCCCAGATATCTCGTCATATCGTCATATATCTAGTTTACAATCTACATTAGCGATTTACAGACGGACATGCGGTTGCAAGGCGGATAAAAATATTGCACAAAGTCAAGCCAAGCAGTTTGCGCTATGCATTCGAGTTGTTAAAAAACAAAATGACTTGAATGCAAGAAGGTTAGGAAATGGAAAATGAAATTATTAGGAGGCACACTTTCACTTCAATCAATATGCTACAAGCTAGGCTTGTAGCTTGTAATGCAATGTCAAGATATCGTGATCGAGTTTTCACCGAACACCATTTCGCTCCCCTCTTGCTAGCGGTGAAACAGTACACAAATTTTGATTGCAAATTATCCAATGCAACGAACACGAACGTAGACGAGGCATAGACAATCAGCATGAAATTATTCGTAATGGTTCTTTTCATATCCAAAAATGGTTGTTCACATGAACACTTTCAATTTAAACACATTTACCTTATATATAACGTATTATGTCTGGATTTTATCTAGACTTTATTTCCTGCAATACTCGATGTTCAATTGGTTATCTATTCTATTGAGAAGACTGCTTTAAACTAAAAAATGATAAATGCGAGAAAACCAATTTAATAATTGTTGAACTGAGACAAACACGTTATTGCGTATGCTTCGAAACACTTTAGATGCATATACAATATATATGAACAACATTTTAAGCAGAGATTGTCTTTTCTCGAGGTAGACATTTTGATACCTTACATTTTCCAATTTCTGTTGGTGCGGTTGAAATATTCTACAATAAATTTTTTTTCTCCTCTTAATATGTTTGCTTTAAAGTTCACGACTATATTTTTGTGAATGAACGCTTTTGCTAAAGAGCCCAAACGCATTAGTAAAACGAAAAAAAAAAAAAAATGTTTTTGGAAAGATATATGTATTGTGCAAAGTACAATTTAAAAGGTACACGTACTTACATACTTATATATAAATGAATTCCAGTTCCGTTATGTACATATCGCACTTCTGAGTATAACGCAAATTTTTCTCTCTTATGCTGCTTTCCAACCGCTCTTATGTTGCCTACACCGGTATTCTTCTGCTCTATAAATAATGTTACTTTACTCTTTTGATTTGTGAATACACAAGAACGCATACACACACGATATTCGAAGTATTTGCATACTTGGAATTCACTATCAAAGGGATGCAGTCAAAGATACCGAACGGTTTGCTTGCCTAAGTATTTTTTGCCAAAATTCTCCTGATTCCAAAAATTAAAGTCCCTAAAATTTGATTAGCAAATATCATATATAGAAATACTTACGATATGCGCGGAGCATGTTAGCTTACATTAGCTAGAAAATAAAAAATGTGGAATCACTAATCCATCCATAAAGTGACTTTTCAAATATATAGGTGTATGTGTGGGGGAAGCGATGGGGACAGGGGTGCGATCCGAATCATTTTCAATAGCGTTCGTTCTTAAGGTAAAACACGTTGGGATACCAAATTTCATGAAAATATATCAAAAATTTCGAAGTTAAACACAATAATACAAGGCAGACAGACGGACAGCCAAGTGTAAATTCATCCGGAAAGTCATTTTGAATCTATTGTTATAATAAAAGGTAAGTTTATGTGAAGTCATTCTGGATATTAATTTTCTACCAATTGATGTGGGGTATAATCAGTTTAGCTAATTGATTCGGAATCGCAGCTTAATCTAAAGAATAAATGCATTTTACATACAATATAGATCCAATTAATTAGGATTTACGGCATAGAATTGTTAGGAACAATCAGTAACTCGATGTTCAAGCACAAAAAAAATATCAATTTGACGGCCACGTTCTACGCAATATTGACAAGACGCCACTAGTTCCAAGTAGTTCGCATGACTTAACAACGTAGTTTTCTAACAAAATTATTACTAACGAATTTTATTGTGGGTATTGCGCCAAAATAATAATAATTGCGATGCAGAGCCATAAAAACTGTAACAAGAAACCGCATTATTTTCTCCTATGACTAGTGATTGATTACGCAATGCCAGTATATGGTTATAAGCATCTTTGTCAAGATGAACCCAGAACGAAATAAGCAAATTGAAAACGCATCACACACTGAGTGGATTTACAATTTAGGAATTCTTCCAAGTTAATTTAAGAGATATCCTCACTTTGCACAGGATCTACTTATATATATAAGCGTTCGCGCTAACAAATTTTAGTGCTTGAGGACAATCTTCTTCTATTTACAATATATAATATTTATAATATTTACTTATGTTTCATAGCATTTGCTTACTATCTTTCAATTATTTTCGTCCTGAAATATCAAACGTTAGACCTTATCACCATATAAAGGCTTCATTTTAATAACAATTCTTAAAGTGCAGCATGACCCGTACGGTTGAATGAGAATTTAAATAAGTGAAGTAATTTTCGTCACAAATGTAAATAATGTAATCGGACGGACATGTGAAACTTTATATTTTTGTAAGAACTATTATAGCGGCTCGGGATCAAAAAATCGTCCCACTTAACCTAAATTTCTAAATATTTGGGACTTAAAATATTATTTTTTTCCCCGATTCTTATACCTAAGATCACTTAAGTTTATACGGATGTATATAATATCCAGAAAACAGAAGGACTTAAGACAAACTCAGCTTTTATTATACAGAATTATTTTGTGAATTGATTTAAGCACATCTGTTCACTGGTCCATGGGATGGCTGTCCACATATTTTTATGTTCAAGCTACAAGTCACAATTTTTGATATATCTTGAAGAAATTTGGTATACTGATGTTTTTTGGCTCAAGGATGAACCCTATTGAAAGTGGATTGGTTCGGATCATTTTTAAGATCACTTCCCATATAACGCCTTCTCTTGAAAAAGTCGTTATACAAAAAGAAAAGTCTAATTTCAAACATTTCTCAATAAAACTGGCTGTATATTAATATTCCGGCGTACACTGAACTGATATACAAAATTTGGATCCGTTGGTATGATGTTTTATATGATGTACTATAGAAATGTTCCTATGAAAATGCATCCTTTATATTAGAAAACGGTCGAATTTTTAATATTTCACAGTAAGAAATAATTGATAATCGTATGAATAGCTTGTACTACATGTGGATCATGTAGATTAATTTTTCGGATCACACTCCTCTCACGAAAAGTAAGCCTTTATATAGGAACAAAGTCTCATATTTAGCACTCCATGGCAGACATTAAGCGGATATATAGATGAAGAGATGGGTAGGCGGACTTAAATCAGGGGTTGGTTTATAGTTGGCGATATCGAGTGCGCACTCGTTTCGGGGATCTTTTTCGATTATAATTTATCTTCACTTAATTTATTTATTGTTTTTATATATATTAATTTTATTTACGTACACCTATCTATATTTGCAAATTGCAAAACTCCGGAATATTTTAGAGCAAATTATTATTAATAGTGGAAATATCAAGAGCGTTTGAGATTTCACTACCAACTCCAGTTCTGAACAAACTGGTGGGATATTTCGCCATGTAGCGGTTGTTTCTAGAAAAGCGTATAGTTTATCGTTAGCTCTAAACTCACGAATCAAGCGGATTCGATAATCGACAGCTATAAAGTGCAACGTAAAAATTACTCTCTCGAAACGGAAAATCAGAAATCCGGCACTGAAAAATAGTTCTCAATCGATCTGAATTTTGCGTCCATTCGTCTAAACTGAGGTTCGCTTATATGAGAGCTTGGTCGGATAAACCGGATTTTTATCTACTGGTCATAGAAAGTTTCTTTCATACATAAGGAAAAATAGCTTACCTAATAACCCTGATCACAAAGTCGATTTCTACATTTCATGCTCCAATGCGTACAATCAGTAAGATATTGATAAACTAACGCTACATCTATGATAGTAGAAAACAACAAAAAAAAAAAAGAAGAAAAAATGCGGTCTACGGATTGCACAAACACGCTCTGCAGATTTTTTATTAAAGGCTACTATTACATCTCCGCCTATATTTGATATTTGTGGTTTGATTTCCAACAAATAAAATTTTAATTTAATAATGAATCAATGAATCATCAAATGCTGTCGACTCAACGGCAACGATTTACAGACTTTATAAACTATTTATCTATATTGAATCGATCTATGAATGACAAATCGCTTGATTGATCAACATGAAGGTTACATGAAGTTAATGAAAGTAACCCAATCAACTTTAATCAATAGTTTTATTCATATGTTCACACTTATGAATAAGTTGAGTAAGGATCAGGAATTATTAAACCTTTGCCAATATTTAAATCGGTTCTCAGCAGTTTCCAATTAGCAAGATTTTCTTTGTGTAATTCGTTTATTGAATAAAATTGCACCGAATTTACCGGAAGAACTGCATGCGATCAAAAATACAGCATTCCTTCTCTAATACAAAGTTGAAAATGATCCGGGAATTCCTAAAGTCCAATAATCGAAATCATATTCCAATGGCAACGGTCAGTCAGAACAAATATAGTCTATGAAAGTAATAGCTGCGGAATTTTGTGAACTTTGACTGAAAGTCTGCAATCTATAGCTGATATCAAACTAAAATTTGTCTCGAGTATGAGAAATGTTGAAGGGCGTATTGGCGTAATTCTTCTAGTCGACCGAATCAACCTCAACCAAGTGTTGTTTTCTCAAATATGTTACGCATTCGCTTGGCTTGATGGCCGTTATCTGAAGTTCGCAATAAAAGAAACATCATATTCAGATTTGCTACATTGAATTTAGAACTCACTTGGACCCGCATAAGTGACCGAGTAGGCAAGAGCCTCGACTGGCAACTCTGTGGTTGTGGGTTCAAATCTCAAGTGCGGTAGAGTTCTTAATAAAGCTGAAAGCCTTAGATGCTAGTGCTTTGAGACGTTAGTCTTAGAATCTATTCTCTGGCTAATTTAATAATAATAATAATAATAATAATAATAATAGAACTCACTTGTCTTTTTATTGCCTTTTACAAAAATAACAATGTGTTTAAAAATGAATTAAAAACGCCAGAGTGCGGGAAAATGAAATAATCTATTTTTTGTTTATTCCTTTCCTATCACCAGCAACAACCTTTAGCGAGGTCAGATCACAATAGAAAAAAAAAAGAGAATAATTCTACATGAAAACGTATATACAGTAGGCCCTCGTTTACAATATTGTATCGCGTAGAAACTTAAGTGTCTACGGAAAATATTAAACTTTATTTGCACTTCGCAGACGCCTCACCATTGTGAGGCGTCCCGATTTTATTCTCCGCTGCTAATGATAATGAGAAAAGTAAAGTACAAATGCTTCTGAGTGTAGGTGGGACAATAAACTTGACATCAGGTCATAAATATAATCATTCCTTGTTTTTGCTTTTTTTGTTTTTTTATGGCTACCAAACTAATAATTATATTGTGTTATTTCGGATGTTTTTCTCTTTCGCAAATCGAATCGCTACACCCATCAATAACCAGCTGAAAAGTGTTTCGCTTTGCCAATTAATAATTGACAACTCTTCTAGCTAATTGAGTATTTTTCCATTGCCTATCCAAGTGACTCACTTACCGAGAAATATATTATATTTTATTTATTGCATTGTAACGAAAACTACGAATAAATTGCGATTGGATGATGTAACGGCTTGTAGTCCATTATTTTGTAGATAACTTCTAGATAACTTCTAGCTGTTTTTCAAAAGTACTTGACTTATATAAAATCAATAATTTTTTC